ATACCCTAGAATGATGACACGTGGCAATTTAAAAGCTATATTATTAGGACATGTCAGATTACTTACACGCGTCCCATTTTTAGACCTTTTCACTAGCCAGGACTTTCCGGTCGAAGAAAAGCCCATCTTCTTCTATTCTCCACGCGGAGACCCATCGCCCCATCGCCGATTATTCTCCAAAAATATCACGGATTTTCCGTGTGATCTCTTCGCCGAAGGAAAGGAATTGTATTGCTACCCTATCAATGAAGGAAAGTCTCCAATTTTGCGAAAAAAGGTATTTTGGATCCAAGATTTTTGAAGCGTCAAAACAGGGTATCTTCCTATATACAATGGTAAGAGGAGCTTATGAACAGTGTTCCTGCCATTTTCTCCTCCATCACTTGAGCTGAACTGGGCTGATGTTATTGGGCCAATTTTTCTGGTCTTCTTTTGGGCATGCAACTGACAGTTTATGGGGCTGCGGTATATGGCTGACGTGGTGTTGGGCTCAATGCAATTACTTTATGTCTATTCAATTTAGTTTTTTCATAAAGTTGCATTGGGGAACGAAAATTTAATGGTTCCATAAAGTTATTTTTAGTGGTTCCATAAACTTGCATTGGGAAAAAAAATTGAGTGGCTCCATAAACTTGCATTGGGAAAAAAATTGAGTGGCAGATGAAAAAGTAACTTTGTGTCAAATCCAACATTATATCCCATACCAATCTCACAAATCCTGATAGTAGATATAAATGGCCATTCTCTAATTCGCCAACACCACAACTCCTCATATTCCCACTTTTCTATTTCTCATTCAACAATGGTGTTTTCTTCATTACATTTTACATACACACACACACAGACACACACACACACACACACATATATATATATATATTCAAAGAACTAGGAGTGAAATGAAATGGAAGATAACTGATGATATACATATACATATACGAAATATAAATTGAGGGGAACCACAAGAAAAAAAATATACCTGGCTCTAAAACGAGAAAAATTGTGTATAAACATCGGATTAAAACGAGAAAAAAATATTAAACATGGGGAGCATGATAGGCAGTAGGGTCTAATGCAGTCAAGAAATATTAAATCCAAATAAATTGTGTAAATTAAAATGAGAAAAAAAAATATAAGAAAACAAGTGGAAATGAAATAAATAAACCCAGTGACAAATCGATGAGCACAAGATAGAAAATTCAATAAACACTCCAACCACACATTTCCACTATATACTTATGCGACTTTACTCCTATCTCTTCACTTTTTATTCTATTTTTATTCCAAAATAAATTTTTTTACATCTGTTTTATCAAATATAGTTAATACATAACAGATTTTTGATTATTAATTTTCAAAAAAATAATATAATCGGATCTTTAAACAACAAATTATGATACACACACACACAAAATCGGATCTTTGATTATTAGTTTTCAAAAAAAACGAGTTAAGTGAGAAAGAAAGAATTTGTAAAAAGATATGAGAGAAAGATACATAGAAATAAAAATCTTACATCCATAAACGAAGATCTATTGAAAATCATCTTGGCTTTCCTGGAGCGTAGACACAGAGGGGGAGAGACCGAGACAGAGAGGGAGTGACAGCGAGGGAGATACCGAGACAGCGACGGCTTTCCTGCGGCGTAGAGACAGAGATGGAGAGACCGAGACAAGCGAGAGGCGGAAATGGAGTGAGCGAGAGATCCAGTTTGGGTAGGTTAGAATATATTTAGGTTTTATTACTGGGTTGGGTTGAGGGGTAGTAGTGGGGTGGATTTATACAATTGGGCTGAGGATTAGTTTAAAATAATTTTTTTGTAAGGGTCTTAATTAATCGTTCCAAGCATAATTAATGGGTTGATGGGTTTGAGTATATTTAATTCCGACCCAATTTAGCTCAGGTTTGAGTTTAATTTTGACGGGTCAATTTTGAATATTTACTTTTTCAATTCAGATTCAATTTAGGATTTAATTGAGTTGGTTGCGGTCAAATAGGACCATTTTTTTGTTATTTTATTTAACATGTTTAAAAACTTATATTAATAAAATTCTATTAAAAATAATATGTTTTTATAAATTATAAGTTATTAATGGAGGAATTGGAACTTTTCTGAGTTCATATTACACGTAATTTTATGGAAAAGTGTTGAATATGTCTTAGCATATGTGGTCATCTATCGTGCTTACAAATTGGTGACGTGGAACGAGAATTATTTTTTGTTTGTGATAATTGTGCAATAGCGACACCGCTTGCACCGCAACGATTTGAACGGGTTAAAATTTCAAACAAAAAATATTTTAACAATCATTATGTTCTTAATTGAATATTTCACTATGTTGCTTTTAAGCGTGAATGTTAGCTTTTTTGTAAGGTACAAAAAAATGTTGGAAAATATTATATATGTAATGTATATCGCATGCACTTTAATGAATTTTTAGAATGTTAACTATTTGTATGCCTATTATGATTATAATGAATGTTAATTTTTTGTTATGAAATTCCAAATTTAGAAGGATAAATATTAGTAATTTATCATTCTCTACGCTTACAAGAAATGGATAACATATTTGATTTTATTGTTAACTTTTTAAGTAAAACATCATAATCCTTTTGTCCCATTTTAAATTGCTTCTTTTGTTTTTTTGTTCGTCTCAAATTAAATTGTTTATTTTCTTAAAATAATAAACTTTTAAGGGTAAAATATTCTAAATTTAAAACAATAAATATTAGCAATGTATCATTTTCTACAAATGTAGTTTATAAAGAAGTATTCCAAAACTTTCAACACTTCATATCCACTTTGGTCATTATTGTATAGAATTTCCTTTTTGGGAGAATTATATTAAATTATATATACTTTTTCAAATTTTGTAACATTTTTCATTATTCCAAAAATCATATGCATCGATTAATCAAGAATCGAGAGGAATTAATTTTACATCGCTTTTTGCTCTGTAATCCCTGTTCTGGAGTTCCCCTTTTTTTCTCGATCATATTCCTAGATTTTTTGCTCGATTGTAATCCAAAATTCTGTTAAATTCATATATTGATTCGTTTGAAAGAATTCTTAGGGTTCTCAGATTGAAATATTCTGATTTTGGGGATTTCATATGAGCTCCATATGTGTTTGCTGGAATAAAGTATGATTCCATCTTTAATAGCTGAAGCATAAGCCATTTTTAGGGATAGATTGTCCCCTCCCAGTGAAGTATTTGCCATGATAGGAGCAGAATTTTTTAGCCATATCATTAATTCTACATTTTTTTCCAATTGTGTGAGGTTTGGTATGAGTTCCATATGTATTTGTTGGGTTAAAGTATGATTCCATCTTAATTTAATAGCTGAAGCATAGGCCTTTTTAGGGATAGAGGAGAAGGGATTTCTGTCACCCACAGTGGAAGCCATGGTTGAGAAGATTTGTTTTGAACAGTGTCAAGAACCCATAGATGATTATGCCAAAAAGGCTCTTGCTTCGCTAGGAGAACAAGCTTTAATAGAGCTCCTGGAGAAAATATCAGTTTGCACGATCAGGAAATTGCTCAGCGCTTTTATTGTATTTATGGCGAAAAAGCATTAGAATCAGCCCAGTTCTTCAGCCAAAAGCATTTCAAAGTCTACGCACAGAAGCTTCTCTGCTCTTTCTCCTTGCTCTTCCATTAATTCCACTGCAAGAAATGTTCCATTATATAAGAGTAATGGTAAATAGTACTCACTCAGGTCCACTATTCTTTGTATCCTTTTTGTTCATACCTCTAATTTTGGCAAACATTCGTGCGGGTCAAATTACTCCTGAAGACCTGAATTCTTATTTTTATTTTAACATGGAATTTCACCTTTTTAGTTTTTACATTGGATGACACCCTCTTTTACTAGAAATAGTGCTACTTAAGGGATTTACAATTTTCATTCATAAACTATATATTGCCTTAACAATACAACTATCACATGATGGAACTTTTGACAACCCTAAAGACTGTGATGATATTCTGCATAGTAAGCGGTATATGTTCAAGGTTGAAGTAAATTCAATGTTCAGAATCAAGCTGAAGAGTGTCAATATTGATGGTAACTAATGCTATGTATTATATTTCATTCTATAGTTTTTGATTGAATTATACTATCAACAGGCTAATATGTTTGAAAATTAATTCTTATTGCCATATTTTGCATTTTATATGCTTTTTTTATGTTTTGCATGCTGATTTATTTCCCCAAAACAGGTTGTTTATGTTGATTTTATAAGAAATAGCTATAGCTGTTTAAAAAAGATCTATGCTCTTACTTATTTTTTAAAAAAACGCACTTCTTTTATTAATATGCCTGCATATTTATGTAATGAATCCATTCCATGATGGGCATAAATTAGATTAAGCAATTAAAGATGCTTGAATTCCAGGATTCAATTCAAACAAAAAGGTTCTTGATTGGAGGAAGATTGACTTAATCAGAGTTAGAGGACAGACGCATTAACATGTTTGCATTGTTGTTCTTTCATTTGTCCTACACTTAGGATTATAAGAAATGAAATGTGGACTTTGATATGACAGAATACTATAGCCTCTATTTTCATATTATGAAAGAATTTTTGGCACTTCAGGTGTGAAGAGAGCTGCTATAGAGCAAGTACACTTAGAGTGGTGACCTTGCAGTTTTGTAAGTAAATAGGCTAATCACTTAATTTTATCTTTGGTTACAATATTCCCCAATTTTATATATATATATATATATATATATATATATATATATATATATATATATATATATATATATATCCTTTAATATAAAATTTGAGAGTCAATCTTCTAAGAGGCTACCATTTGGCATTACTCAAGGCTTAATTTTTGACACGTATTATAGCCATGCGTCACTTCATCCGGGATGGACCTCTTCAACAGACTCATTCACTGATTCACCGAAGGAAACTATCCGAAATTACGCAGTGTACTCTTTGCCAAAGGAAACTAACGAAAAATACCGAAATTGAGATGGCGATTCGACCGATCCTCTTTATATCTTCTTCACCAATCGCCGATCCTCTCTATCTCTTCTTCACCCAATCATTCTTCGAACGAAAGTGTTCAAAAATATGGAGTCTCTTCTTGGCCGAAGGAAATTTCAGACGTTCTTCTTCTTCCTTCATTAAATTTACGTTGGGAGTTGGGTTCTTCCGCTAAGAAGCACTGGAATTGCACAATGGTGGTATTCAGGGTGAGCCGAATTATTGTCACACAGTGTTGGTATATTTTATTGCAATCAATTTACATTTTATATAGGGTTTGTGTTCATTTGGTTGATTTGTAGGTAGATTCGCCACAGACAAATATTTAGCTTTCAGTCAAGCCTCCGTCTTCTATTTCACGTCTGAAAAAGAATTCCAGGTATAGTTTACAGGGAGGGGAAGAATAGAGATTAACATTAGTCAAAATGAAGGAAAAAACCTATGAATGAAATGATGGGCTCGGATCTGCCCTTGCATCAATATACACAAGGTCTGTTGTTTTATTTTCTGCCCTTAATATTCTTATTACTCCATATATTCTTTGATTTTTTGAATGTGATTTCAAATTCCTGTGACGATTATGTGTGTGCGCTTAGTGACTTCAAATTCAATTTTGCTTTAAATGTTCATTCGGATGATCACGTGGTTTTTTACTGTTAATTTCATCTCAATGAAACCCTCAAAGTATTATCCATCTCAATCGGATACGACGTCTCACGGTTTTTCCTTTATTGCTTTGATTGTGAAAATAATAATTTTTGAGCATACGCACAAGGTGTTTGTAAAATTTACTCTACTGGTAAGTTCTTTTCCATCAACCATTGTTAGGAATTGGAACTGTTAAAAGATGTAAGCGTTGGTGTTTTAATGATCTTTAACTCGAATTTTTAACTTTCCTTAGTAGTAGCTCATATCAACAATGGTTCAAGTTAAAGATAAGTTGACATGCTCACTTCAATGAAACAAGGGAATATGTTTGCAGTGAATAATGCATAAGATGTGTGTGTGTGTTCGAAAGGATGCTAACTGATAAGTTTTACAGATGGTATACCAGGCGGGTTGCAATGTTTTTTTTTTTAATTTTTAAGAATTTCTTTATTAATGTTTAAATGGATGAATTTGCTATATTTGTGTAGTGATAAATGGCACTCCTTTTTTTAAACTCATCTTTTTTTCATAAACCACATGTTAATTGTGAATCTTCATTACCCTTTTGTTTATATTTAATTTCCACTTCCATTGCATACAATGTATTCTTTTAGTTCTCAATTTTATGATCATTAAATATTTGTGCACTTCCTTTTAGGTTATCATTTTAAATTGCCGCTTATCACACACTTTGAGCCCATTCAAGTAACTCTCAAGAGTCTAACCATACTTTGTTATGGTTTTTTGTTTGTAACTTTTTTTGTTGTTCTTAGGCTGTTTTTTCTAAGTTTAGTTAAGAATGTTATTCAGTGTTTGTTAACTGTAGGTGGGAGATATTCCATACAGGACCAAAAGAGTCATGATGGTTAGGTGTTTAGGTTGTAAACCACCTTTGTAAGGACCACGAGTGTGACACTCTACTCAACCATGGACTAAATTCTGACAACACATGGAAACTACATAGTTCAATTTTCATTTTCGTTAAAGTTGAATTCTTTGACATATTATCCTTAATTGGGGGTTACCGGGGTCATTAGTTGAAGTTCTATATCAACATGGTGTGTGTGTTTCTTGTGTGGATTCAAATGTAGAGTGTGTCAGTGTATCACATACATTTCTTCCCCTTTGTTGTTATACTTTCACTGATAAACCTTCTCTCTGCAGGTTTCTAAATTTGGTTCAGTGGAAGTTGAGAAACTCATAAACATTGAGCCATATTCTCATGTTATGCACATTAGTTCCACTATTAATTCTTTCTGTAAATTTTTGTAAGAATTTACCCGATAAACAAGTGATGAGTGAATGTGAGTCTTTTAAAGTTGAATTATGTTAGAACGAATTTTTGGGTAATAACTGGTAAGATACTATGATGCATGGTAGTAATATCCAAATACGAAGTGGGAACAACCAGAACAACTTGCATTAACCTCAGAAATAGTCAGTACACACCGATCGAAGAAACAAAATGTTAGAACTTGGGAAATCGCTTTTTAGAGCATGTGTTTATGCAGAATGATATATGAGTGATGTTGGAACATAATCTGTATATAAAAGTGGAATCACTTCTCTTATTGTTAATTTTGAATTGCTTCCAATTTGCAGGTTTCTGGAGAGCTCTATGACCGTTCAAGCAGTTGGGATGCTTTGCGTGCTGCATTGCCCGTCGGAACTGTCAGTGGCGCCCCAAAGGTTTTTCAATATCTCCTCTATTCATATTCGCTTTATTTGATGTGCTTCATGGTCTCCTTAGTGGTCATTGATCTTATTGTACTTATGTGATGGGATCAGTTTTGTATTTTGAACACTTTACAATGAACTCCATTTGTAATTAGTGTCATGCTACTACTCACATCACGGATGACATCAAGGTTGACACTGTCAAGGCTTCTCACATGATTCTAATCGTTTGTGGAAGTGTTAACCTTAGTGTCTTCTTTGGGGTTAAAAGTAGAGCACTACATTCGCCCATTGCTGAAGCCTCTTTGCATTCATATACCCTTTTTCNTCCAAATACGAAGTAAGAACAACCAGAACAACTTGCATTAACCTCAGAAATAGTCAGTACACACCGATCGAAGAAACAAAATGTTAGAGCTCGGGTAGTCGCTTTTTAGAGCATGTGTTTATGCAGAATGATATATGAGTGATGTTGGAACATAATCTGTATATAAAAGTGGAATCACTTCTCTTATTGTTAATTTTGATTTGCTTCCAATTTGCAGGTTACTGGAGAGCTCCTTGACCGTTCAAGCAGTTGGGATGCTTTGCGTGCTGCATTGCCCGTCGGAACTGTCAGTGGCGCCCCAAAGGTTTTTCAATATATCTCCTCTATTCATATTCGATTTATTTGATGTGCTTCATGGTCTCCTTAGTGGTCATTGATCTTATTGTACTTATGTGATGGGATCAATTTTGTATTTTGAACACTTTACAATGAACTCCAATTGTAATTAGTGTCATGCTTCTACTCACATCACGGATGACATCAAGGTTGACACTATCAAGGCTTCTCACATGATTCTAATCGTTTGTGGCAGTGTTAACCTTAATGTCTTCTTTGGAGTTAAAAGTAGAGCACAACATTCGTCCATTGCTGAAGCCTTTTGCATTCATATACCCTTTTTCACTGTTGGGGTCTGTGGGGTGGGGGGTGGGTGAACAGGTGAATGCCATGGAACTGATAGATGAGCTTGAAGCGACGAGGCATAGACCTTACGGTGGTGGATTTGGGGGGATTTCCATATTCAGGGGATATGGACATAGCCCTGGCTTTAAGGACCATTGTTTTTCCAACCGGAGGGCGTCATGACCTAATGTACTCTTACAAGGACGTAAACAGAGAAAGAGAGTGGGTTGCCCACATTCAAGCTCGGGCAGGTGTTGTCGCTGATTGTGGGATCAAAGGATAATCAGTTGGAGCAAAATGGAGATGATATCATTAACTCTACAATGAACAAGAGGATGAAAGAGGTGGAAAAATTTAATGGAGATGGAGATAAGTCGAGCAAGAAGATGAAGTCCGTTAAAATAGAGAAAACTAAGTCTAGAACTTTTACGTTATCTTGAGAGTATTATTTCCTTCTTTTTGGTTTTTATTGTTGTGTTAGACAGTTTATAAATTATAACTATTAAATTCTTTGGTTAATCCTTTTATCTAAAGTACTATGTCAATTGAAAGTGTTAGTTTTAGATGACAGTGGTAACTCTAGCAATTGCACAAAAAATGTGGTTTACCCTGATTTTTTTCAAAAAAAATTGAATTTAATTAAAACATTTATACGTTCTATTCCAATTTTGTATCCCATTAAATTTAGTTATCATACTCTGTTTGTGTTGTATCATTTATTAAAATTCTAACATTGTCTATTATATTTAGCTTCATTTTTTAATTATGTACTTAAAACAAATATTTAAAAGAGTTAAAAATAACATTCGTTCGATCCCGTGCGTTGCACAGGTTAAATACTAGTTTATTGATAAATATTAAACTGAACAAATACATACACGAGTATAAAACATTTTTAGAAATAGAAAAAGAATAACCTTAGCATTTGCAAATGCTCAAACAGTGCCATTTAACATGGGCCCATATTTCTGGGCCTTCTCGTCAATCCAGGCCCGCATATCAGCCAAAACCCGGGCCGCGTCCTCATCGGGCTCGCCCTGCACCAGCGAGTGATACAGCCCATCGTACAGCTTCAGCGACTTGTCCGCGCTGCTTGCTTTGTTGTACAGCATCTCGGAGCCGGACGGGCACGTGACGCCGTCGGCGGTGCCGTGGAGGGTCAGAAACGGCGCCGTCACTCGGTGGAAGTTGTTCTGGACGTAATCCGTTTGCCGCGCGATCTCCCTCATCGTCCCCACTCTGGGCTTTCCGGTGTACCTTCTTGGGTTTCCGGCGATCACTTTTAGCTTCTTTGGATCGCGTATGGCTTTGCCCACCAATTTGTTGTCCGGCATTGCGGCCCATGTGTCCGCCAGCCCAAACAATAGCCCGTACACGAACAAGTGTGGCTTCCCAAAAGACAAAACAAAAATTACTCGTAGAAAAATAATTACTCCTTATTCCTTATATAATTAAGGTTAAGTTATGCATCAATTTTTAAATACTTTCAATTATAATTACAATCAAATGTTTAAAACAGGTATCTGTATACACTAGTATGCAAGTGTTATAGTACAAATTTTGAGATAGATTTCTTTTTCTTAATGTAAATGAAAAAATATTTTAAATAACCCCACTTGTTCACACTTATCCAAAAACAATCTAATTTTTTATTGTCACAAAAAAATAATCTTTCATCATATTTGCGAGCTTTAAGTTGGCGTTAGAATATTAAGTGCTAACAGTTACTTAAACGAAATATTTAGAAAATACTTGTTTTTCACAAATAAATAAAAGTTGAAATTATTTTAAATAATTTGCAATACATTTAATGTGAAATTAATTATTATTTTTCAATAATCGATAATACGGTAATAATTGTTTTTTTCAAATTAATATTTCAAAAGTTGTAAAATTGCACAATCAATTATTCTACACAATGAAACTAATTTATTTATTTCATAACTCCAAACATTTTTGTAAGTAGGAACTAATTTCTTGAGCGGCACTTTGAATTATTTTTGATATCATACTAATATTATTTTAAAAAAATGGCACAACAAAACTTATGAATATTTTTTGATAATTTTGTATAAAAAATTTTTGCAAATCAATATTATAATAATTGTGAAAATAATACAATATGTTTTTCTCTAAAATGGAACTTTCATTTTTATAATTTCACTGCATTTTTTGTTTCATTGCATTTTTTTATGATTCACTATCAATATAGAAAGCAACACTCCAAAATGTTTGTCAATGATCTTTTATTCCTTGTACCGTTTTTTTCTAAAATGGCAATACAAATATTATAATTTTTTTTGATAATTCAAGATATTTTTTTTCTCCAAAATAATAATTCAAAAGTTTTGAAAATGGCACAATATTTTTTTCTTCAAAAACACTAATTATTTTTAAAGCTCATTACAACTTTTTTCTCGAGCAATACTCTGAATTATTTTTCAATGATCCAATCCTATATTTCCTCTAAAACAAAATACAAAATTTGTAAATCTTATATTTTAAAAAAATTGAGATAAATCTCTAACAATAGTGTACTATTATATTTCTAAAAACACAAATTTAAAATGAAAAATAAAAAAATGCCTAAAATAATCCACCTTTCTTTCAATTGACAAAAATCGACATTTTTCAAAAATTTTATTAAGTGGTTATTGTTTCTTAACGGCAATTCAAAACTCGCACACAAGTAAAAAAATTATTTTCAATAAAAGTAAAAAGTAAAATTATTTTTGAAAAAGCATAAAGGAGTATGATTATTTAAAATAAGTTTTCCTAAATTAAATTAGGAGTAAATTCAATTAACCATTTTTGTATGCGTGGACAAATTGCACGAGAGTAGTTGAACCATCGCTCTAACAAATTGACTTAAGACACAATCCAATGTGGTGGCCGGTGGGGTAGGTATACCTTGGAGGGCTTCATGGACTCGGGTATGACAAAAAGCGGGGCGGAGAAAATCAGTCCAGTCCACGTGTCAGGCTCCGATTGGAGGTACATGAGCATGGTGACGAGCCCACCCATGGATTCCCCGAACAGAAACGCCGGCAAATCCTTATACTCCTCCCCGCACCTGACGCTCCTAAAAAAGCTCAGAGAAGCCGCCGCCACCTTCTCCATCTCCCCCATGTAGCACCGGATCCCGTCGGAGCGGCCGTGGCCGAGCAGATCGGCGGCGAACACGGCGTACCCCCACGACGCGTAGTTTATGCAGATCTCCTGGAAGCACCACCCGGTGTCCGATCCGTAGCCGTGCGTCATGAAAACCGTCCCCTTCACCGGCCGGCTCGCCTCCGCCGGCAGAAACGACTGCGTGAACAGCCTCCCGCCGGGAGAATCGAAGTACGACTGCGTGTTGCGCACTCCGCGGGAGGCGTAGAACTCCTCCGCCGGCGTTTCGCCCCAGTAATTCGTAGGAGGCGCGGCGGGATGCGGTGGCGCTTCCGTCGGCATCGGTGATTGCGATTGCCGAATTTGGACTCCGGAGGTAGTTAGGGAGCAAGAGATGGTGGGGGGTTGAAATTAGGACGACGTCAGGACGAATGCGGAGGAGGATAGTGTGGGATTTACACGGAGTATATATTTGTGGAGGGGCATTAAAGGAAAGTTGATTTCTCAACAGCAAATACTTTCATGAAGATAATTTGTTTTTTACAGCCGTGTTAGGTGGGGAGTAAAAAACTTGCAGCTCATTCCTTTATATGCATTGTGAAAACATGTTTTCCTCCATAATATCAACCGGATTTGGAGAGAAGGGGGCTTGGGGTTATCAGGATAGGAGGATAGGGAGACGGAGTAGCCTACTCTGTCTGGATTTAATTTGGAGAGAAACGGAGTTGGCTACTCCGCATGGAAAATTAAATTTAATTAATAAATGGAACAGATTTGGCTACTTCGTATGAGAAATAAAAAACCTAAGATCGAGTTTGCTATTCCATTTTATTTAAAATTTTCGAGTAGAAACAAAGTAGCCAAATCCGTATTGCACTGTCAGGAAAAAAATGTCTGACTTACACTGTCAAGAATGAATTTTTTTTACATATGTTGGTCGTTAGCTCTGTTAGGTCATTAGGTGTACCTGGCGTGTTGTTAACTCAGTCTAAAGTTTAATGCACAAAAATTATTAATCCAACGTTTTTAAATATTATTCTTTTTGTCCAAAAATTATTTTTCCGTCTACTATTCACATGGTCCAATTTTATTCACTTTATTGACTTATTCTCAATATTCATTTGATAAAATATTATAATCATGTCACCTCTAGTTTTGTAGATTTTTTTATGTGATTTTTTAATGTTATTTTTATTTTTTAAATTCACACTATTTTTCATTTAAAATTATTGAAAAATAATTTCAGTCAAACATTGTAACGGGTAACGGAAATATAACTTTTTTGGACATGGAAGTAAAAGAGTGTTAATGTGATTTTTATAATTCAAGAAAGTTGGAGGCAATTTCTGACAAATTCGTAGATGAAAGACATTGAAAACTCCTTTTTAAGGGCAAATTAGGGTTTTGCTTTTGGTTAATCTCTCATTTTAGAAAGAGCAATACTAGGTTCACAAAGAAAATGGTCATAAACTTACTATTTATGGTTTAAATTTTTATTTCAAAATTATTTTTGACTATTTAATTTTTTTTATTGAAGTTCAAAAATAGTAAGCTTGTGAAGTTTGTATTTGTGAACCAAACATTTCCCTATGAGAAGAAAGTTTTCCAACGACCCAAAAAGAATAGTACTCCGTACAAAGTAAAATTTGCACTAAATAGGACTAAAGCATAATGACTTTCCTAATCTAAGACTTAAACTTTTGTATTCCCTAAATAGGACTTATTAATGTCTTAGTGTGAGAACAATGTCCAGTAATGATGGACATTTACTTGAATAATGACTAATTCATAATGACCAAAAGTCCTACATTAAGAAATAAAAACATATGATCCTATGTTGGGAAAGTCATTATGTTTTAGTCTTATTTAAGTAAGTTGAAAACTAGTTTCAAAACAAAGAAAATAAAGAGAATAGTTATTGCAAGTATTGATTAGAGAGTAGTGAGAGTACTTTGTAAAAGGGAAACTAAATACTCCCTCCGTCTGAAAATATTCTTCCCACTTTTTTTTTGGTCCGTCTGGATATATTATTCTCATTTCCTTTTTTAGTATACATTTTAGGGCCATGCTACACTTACACCACAAATTGTACCCCATTTGTACACCGCAGTTATATACAAACATTTTGATGGTTTACACCGACACAAGTGTTGGTGCGTTAACAAAAATTTACACGGACAGAAAGTGTTGGTGCATTAACAAAAATTAGTTTTACACCAACACAAAGTGTTGGTGCAAACCTGCGGGGTAGAAAGTGGGGTACAAACACTTGGGGTACAAATAGCTTTATCTTACATTTTAAGGGTAAATATCAATAATACCCTTATATTTATCACAAATCTATTTTTTAGTACTTTTTTAATAATAAAAGGGGATTTAAAAGTTTATAGTATGTGCATTTTTGAAAATTTTGCATTTTTTTACTATTCCTTAATAAGCGTGCCAAGTCAACACGAGAAGAATATTTCCAGAAGGAGGGAGTAATTAAAAAGAATTAAGCATATTATTATTATTATTATTATTATTATTATTATTATTATTATTATTATTATTATTATTATTATGACTACTAATAAGTAATAACTCTATACCTACTTACGGAGTATATGGTTATAGTTCCCTGTCATAAAATTGATTTCACATTCTATACCTACTTACGGAGTATATGGTTATAGTTCCCTGTCATAAAATTGATTTCACATTTTGATTTTTATGGTCAAATTTTTTAAATTATGATCGCATATTACTAAATAAATATATTGGTTTCATATAAAAATGATATTAATTGATTCTTTTTAAAACATAGTTATTGATATTTTACATAATATTACATACTCCCTCCGTCCCAATTTAAATCGCCTGTTTTGATTTTTGGGCATATTTAAGGAAAATAAAAAATAGAGTTGATTTTTCGAAATTGACATTACTTTTTATAAGGGGTGATGATGAATGAGAAGATAAGGTGAAGAAGAGTGACTTATTTTAGGGGTAGTTTATGTATTTTATTTTTAAAAGTTTACGAAAATAACTAACAGGCAACTTATTTTAGGACGGAGAAAAAAGGCAAACAGACAATTTAAAATGGGACGGAGGGAGTAATATTAATAGATTCATGTTTAAATAGAGATGGTAAGAATGTTGCACGGGAGATTGTAAGAAATCTAATAAAAAATTTATTTTAAGAGAGATGGATTGCAAATTTCCTCAATCTATTCAAAGTATTTTTTTCCCCGAAAAATTGATTTCCCTGCATGTCTAAATTGGTTGAAATGTGTTCCATTATATGTAATTTAAAAATGCACTTTCCCAAATAATGCAAACCGGAGTAGCTTACTCCGTTTGCTATTTATTCTTTAGTAAAACGGAATAGCCAACTCCGTTTCAAATGATTATTTAGGGAAACGGAGTAGCTAACTCCGTCCACCTTTTTTCATCTAAGAAAGAGAAACATGCACGAAGAGTGGAGATGGGGGATCTCCACCTATTATTTTTTAAAAAAAAAATCAAAAGTTTTTGTTTATTTCTCAATTTTGTTCCTATATATTTTTTAAATCAAATTTTTTATTATAATTTTAAAACAATTTTTTTATATAAAAAACAGAAAATTATTTACTTATAATGAAACAATCTACTAATAATAAAATGCATAAAAAATAATTTTTTATTGACTTTAAATAATGCAGCAAACAATGAAATTAAAATAAGAAGTAAATGTGGTCTTTTTTGTCATACACATTTCCAAAGGTTGTTCTATTTGTGTCGTTTGTGAATTACTTTCGCTTTCAACTACAATCATAGTCTACAAATGTGATCTTTCGTCAGAATTCAAGCCCACAATCATAGTCATTATTTTTGTGTTATCTGCTTAACCAATATCAGAACACGTCTCTAAACATAATATTCATGTCAAATTATACTTTTAGCCTTTAAATTATCACAAATATGGCAAAAGATAAAGTTCACTTAATTTCACCCCATTTTACTCAATTTTTATCAAATTATATTCAAATGGAACATTAACAGTATTTGAATTTATCTTTTGTCTTTTCATTTATAAACATAAGTATATTAGTAGATGTGAGAAATATTTAATATTTCAAAACTAAATTTTAAAATCAATTTAATTATATTAAATTTATATCATAATTAAATATATATGTTTTTCATAATTTGTAGTCCAAATTTGTAAAATATGACTAAAAAGTCAAAAAGGGAATATTATTTAGGATAGAGATAATAAAATTAGAAAAAAATACTCGTATAAAATAGTATGAAGTATTGAATTGCTGATAGATTGAAAAATGTGATAAAACATAAAAAGAAACATGGATATTTAAATTTTAATTAGAAAATAATATATATCCAAAATATATTTGTTCTGAATCGAACCGATTATAACATATAGGTGAAAGATCCGAACCGAAAACATCTAACCCGAAACTGATCCGGTTGACTCGATTGCCACCTCTAGACATGAATGCACGGAATGCGTGGATACACTTTGTTTAGAAATTATGAGAAAATTATACTTAATTATAATATTCATTCAATATATTTTGCTTCAACTTAAGATATATTATCTCTCGTCCCAGTGTAGTTATCCAATTTGACTTTTTTGAGTCAAACTGGACAAATTTTGAACTCCAATTATTCTCAATTTATATTGCATATATATTAACATAATGAAATACAATTTTAAAAGTTTTGAATACTATAAATCCAATAAATGCATTTTAATGTTAAAATACATTATGGTTCTTATTTAATTGAAGCTCAAAGTTTGTCCAATTTAATTCAAAAAAGTCATACTGGACATATACACTGGGACATAGTGAGTAATTTTGATATATCAAATTTTTAATATAAATAAATTATTTAATTATGTTTAATTTGTGACAAAAAATGTTAATATTTTAAAAAGAATCAAAACATGAAATCTTTAGGATTGTGGAGTAAAAAAAGGGAAAATGGTTATTAAAAAAAAAAGAAAAAAAGAGCAAGACTCCTTGTGAAAGAATGAACAATTGCCAGATTACCTTTCCTACGGTTAAAAGGATTTACAGGGATGAGGTCTTTTTATTTCTTTCTGCATTAGCAAACCCAAAAAATGGAAAAAGGAAAAAAAAACAGAGGCAAACGGAGTAGGCAACTCTGCCAATAAAAAAAATTTCAAACTAAACGGAGTAGCCAACTCCTTGTTGCTCTGCGGGGAAGAAAACCTCTGACATACACTAGTAGGAATGCTTTATAATTTTCTTAGATATACCCGGAGTTTACTCGAAAAATTAAAGTATTGATAATTAGTGCCTCTGTTGGAGTAAAAAATAAAAAAAACAATTACGGAGCAAAAAGAATGAAGCACGTGGTTGGTCTTTGCCCATTGGTTTAAAGAAAGTTGGAGAGAAAACGTCATGGGGTTAGGATCGTAATTTTAGTGGAAGCGGGAGTTGGTGGATATCTTTTTCAGCATGGGACCTACTGGCTGCCGTTCACACTAAGAGCAGTGGTAATACCCATCACGCCCACCGGCGTTACGGGGCGTTTAACGCCCCGGGGGCGTGAAACACCGCCCCCCGCCGGCGTGAAAAGGGCGTGAGGGCGCCTGCGTCATTTGTTTGACGCGGCGTGAATCGGCGCTCCCCCCCTCCTAACGGCTAAAATAGCCGTTGCACGCATTTTTTTAAAAAAAAAATTTTTTTCCCCTATAAATTCAACCCTCCCCAACCAATCTCTCACACATTCACTCCAATCTCTTCTTCTTTCTCATTTTTAAATTTCAAAATTCAAATCACTCCTCCCAATTTTCAACATGAATCCTTCCGGCTCCGGCTTCGTTCCCGACAATCTCCCCCCGAGTGACGCCGCGATGTGGTTCTACCAAGAGTGGGGCGATCAAGCGCCGATATTCGAGATGCAACAATCCGGGTACGTCGACCGAGATTCGGTTCCGGAGACTCAACCGGAACCGTCCGGTTCGAAAAAAAGTACACGCCGGAGGAGCCACAAAGCCAAAACCACGTTGACCGAGGCGGCACGGTCAATCCAAAAGTGGACGCCGGAGGAGGAGTGCATATTAGCGCCGGCTTGGGTTGACGTCTCCGAGCATCCTATAATTGGTAAAAAAATTTATTTTTTCTAATATATTTATATTTTTATTTATATATATTATATTTAATTGTGTCAAAAAAAATTGTGTAATACTTTTTTAAAGGTACGGAGCAAACGAAGGATGCGATGTGGGATCGTATCGAGGAGAGGTTCTTCACGGCGATAAAGAAGGACGGCTCCTACCGAACCCGAGACCAACTCACTTCCAAATGGAGCCACATCAACAAAAAAGTGCGAAAGTTTATGGGAGTTTACGAGGAATGCTCCCGGTCCCGGAGGAGCGGCATGAACGACGCCGATGTTCTCCGGCTTGCCACGACCCGGTATCAAGACGACGGGAACCAAGGCAAGGTGCCTATAGATCTTTGGAGGATTTTGAGTCGTTCCCCGAAGTGGCAACAACTCAACAATCCCGACGGCGGAC